AATCAGAATAACAGAAATTAAACAAAGACATTCTCATTCCAATCAGATTTTTCCAGTCAATTTCAAACAAAGACATTCTCATTCAAATCAGATTTTTCCAGTCAATTTCAAACAAAAAGGGCAAAAAGAGCCGATAGCTAAATAGGCAATCATAAGTAAGATTTTGTTGTCATCAAAGAATTAAAAATTCTCTACAGAAACAAAGGATTATGGAATATGTACGTTCCACTGCAGACCACCCATGTGTCCACATAAGGTGAAAGGTGAAAGGTGAATTAAAACTATAAGCAGCTGAACCTCTTAAACGCATTTGAGAAAATAATATGCCATTATAGCCTCACACAAGATCATCATCAGGAAGCTCCTCCCCAAGACCGCGTTGCGCAATTCTGTAATAAAGAATGCCCATTGTTGCCATGCATGCCCTACATGTCATTACGGAACACTTGCATTAGTCAAAGAAGTATTACTCTCTGTCTACAAAGAAGTAACGACATGCGACTTTAAGACATCTATTGTACCATTTGTTCCTTATTTGCGATCTGTGTTTCTATATTGGGTAGACTGATTTTTGGTTGTCTATTGGGCTTTGCTGGGGAGCCTATCTACTGTGCGAGAAACCAAACATTTGCATCAGCATGGGAGAACTTATGTTAGGAACAATGCCGCCCCAATGCTAATAATTACACTAAATCCTAATTATTTTCCCTCTTTCATGCTTAATTTTTTTTTAATGAACACACACACAAGGGAATACATGCATATTTTTTTGAACATACTTTACCCAACATCATACTGCAGCCGCAAAAGCCCAAGTCCAAGCACCACCTCTTTCATGCTTAGTTAGTTGCACTACTTTTTCATTCACAATTTAAATAATTACTTTGTATTGGCAGAGGTAGTGCATCACCTACTCGGTCACCCCAGAGCAGTAACCATAATAAGAACGACCCATGAACTTCTAAAATAGTGTCAAAAAAACTTCTGCTGAAATTTTTTATCACCTCTAATATTGCCACATCTTACTTGTGCATTAATATATATGTATATATCAAAGGTAATTGTAAGCATAAAGGAAGAAAAAGGAATAACGAAATAAAAAAACAAGTCAAATGGAAGCTAAGAAAACAGATTAGAGAACTTTACAAGATTGCTATGATGAGAAGGATTTTCCTGGGATCCACCCTTGAAGATCTATGGTGCCGCTGACGCCCTTCTGGGACATCATCTCCGTTAGATGCATCTTTCCGTGGCGGTGCAGTCACTGGTAGGGTTGGTAAGGCACTCGGCCAGAAAGATAGCAATGACCTAGGAAACTTATGGTGCAATGTACCTGCAATCAAAACCCCCACTACTTTGGTTCCATAAATGGAAAGGCAGGCTATGCATTCACCAACACAAGATAAGGCAATAGGATGATTACAAAAGCACTTGTACCAATAAAAGTACGAAACAGGATTAAACAGTATCAGGTGTAATTCATTTATCCTACCACCAACCATATTGCAAAATTTTTTGCCAAAAAATTCATGTAAACCAAGAAAAAGCAATAAGAAACTAAAAGGAAAACTTCTTCTCACCCCTTCGTGTGTACTTTTTTCGATTTGCATCTTCATCATCACCAAAATATGAAACTTCAGAGTTCTGCCTTTCAACTTGAATAGAACTCTTTCGCGTTGTAGCACCAGGCTGTGTTGTGTGGTAATATTAAACAAAACTATAACAGATGATAAAATGTCTAAGAGAAAAAACACCAGACACATGCACATGCACATGCAAGCACACATATAAATATATAATCATCGTGTACATGCAGCCAAAGAAAGTTGTGACACGCATTTGAATTTCATGCAATGATTAGTAGCAAAATCCACTTACACCAGCAGGGCTTGAGATTGTCATAAAACTGGACTCATGATTGGGCAGAGATGGATTGGAAGAACCTGGACCATCTATCTCCACAATATCTGTGCTTGAAGGTTTATTACAACCTATGCCAGTTGCAACTGAGTATCCTTCAGCATCTCTTACTGCTGATGGTGACAAGCTAGAATTATAATCCCTGCCTCCAGCAGCCGATGCATGCATCAGTGGGTCCGAAGCAAAAGCAGGAGGGGGGCCTCTAGACTCTGTTTGCAGTAATGAGACTGGATGGTTTCCAAACAAGTTCTTTTCTAGGCCAGTCTGCACAACAGCATAGTAGAATCATACAAACTATAATTTCACAAGGAGATTAGAAAGCATGATGACTGTATCCCTTGGGTAAAGGATCCTTCTAGTTGTAAAAATACAACCAAAAATTTTGTGGTTAAACAAATCCACATATTTCCACTACAAGGCGAACACTGAAAAAAAGCCCAAACTTGGAGCTAGTTATGTGAATCCTAATTCGTGGTTTAGATTAGTGGAGAATTGTGTTCATAGCAGCAGCCTTAAACTAACAACATACAGGGCAACAACTAAAACATGATTATAACACATGGAGCGACAGAGGAACCCATTTGACACTCTAATGAGTCAGAATCACACAGAAGCCACAACAAGGTCTCATTATAGCATATGAAAAGGCAAAACATACACTTCTGAACCTTGTGAATTTAAGGACATCTTTTTACATTTTCCGGTCTCTCTTCAACGTGTCCCCTCATTCATCGTTCACACCATTGATTATGCCACGAGGCTTAGACAGATTTGGAAGGAACCTTTTCCAGGAAAGAATACGAATACAATAATCTTCAAGACAAGAAGTACCACAATTGTTAAGCTGCACACATTCACCAAAAGATTTTCTATGGAATGGTTTTAGGGCGAACTCCATAAAGTTTATATGGGAAATCACCCATTCCACCTTAATTATTTGAACCATAACTTAATTTAATGAAAAGTATATAAATAGTGCCTGTAAGATTGTCATCAAGAAAGGACTTCTTTGCACTATTTAAACAGCCAAGCAGAAGCATTACCTGCATAATTGCTTCCTTCAGTTTCAAATGAAGACAGGATCCCGAATCTTTAACACTTTTTGGAGGCCATATCTGCAATAACAAACCACTTTATTGAAACGAACCATGCAAGTGCAACAAACACAGCAAAGGTAAACATAGCAACCCAAAACATTCAGATCACATTTTTCATATAAGAATTTTCTGAAGTAAACAGATAACTTGTGTATCTCAGTTATATTATATTTCACCAATCATCTACTTCTCAAAAGAAACCCCTCTATCTTTACATTTTAACAAGTTTCTCTAACTATGTGTTTAGAGCTGACATACCCCTAGCTAAAACATTATATGTTATACTTTTCTCTGCTTCATTGCACTCAAAATGAATGCCTAAGTCTCACAGATCAGAAAGACCCAGTGCTTGCCTCACTCTTTTGTCCTTTCAGACATCAGCATCTAGGCCAAGTGTACTTTTATGCATGTTGTCACTATGCCAGATCTCAACTTAAACCATAGGCTTCAGGCTGAGAAGTTCAGTGCGGAAAACCAAGATTTTCACTTGTCGAGTTATACCCCTCCTTTAAGTGTGAGAGTGCCTCCGTGCTTGTATGTGCACCAATCCCTTTTTCTAGGAATCTATCATAACAGACTAGCAAAAATCATGATGACCACTACTGTTCCACTTTATTCTAAAAATAAAAATAAAATGAAAGTAAAGCTAATCTTTCCAAAGATAAAATATTCCACCATACACATATTCTAAATTCTAGTGCACAGCTATTTCTTATTTCTAACTCACCCCGAACACAAAAGTTATGAAGCATAAAACTCTATAAACATGTGAGTGTGTGTGTGTGTATTCTCTTTACTCACCCTGCACGTATTGTCAGACTTGTGCCTTCTCGTCCTTCTTCTTCATGATTCGAAGTATCTAGAACTAAAGCTCTTGGACTAAAAGCTATGACTAAATACCTTGCCAACACCAGGTTATGGAGCACAAAACTCTATAAACGTGTGAGTGTGTGTGTGTGTGTGTGTTCTCTTTATTCAACCCGAATTGATGGTCATAGACTTTTGCCTGCTTGTCCTTCTTCTTCATGATTCTAAGTATCTATAACTAAAGATCTTGGACTAAAAAGCTTTGACTCAATACCTCACCAAACAGAAGTTGAGAAGCATAAAATTCTATGACCATGTGTGTGTGTGTAAATATATATGCAACTTTCTCCCAACTTTCATCTAAGCCAACACCCTAACCAGGTATTCAGTGGCACTTATATCCCCTAAATTGACATTACACAAAGAGAAGGCCCCAAAGCCAGCCTTAAAAAAAAAACTTATGACATCTTTCCTACAATTTGTCATCACACTTCATTGTTAAGCAAAAATTGCTGGTGTTTACGTGGTTAGTGATACAAGACTGCCGGTTTAAGATTTTGAAGTTCTGTTCTTTAATGCCCCATCAGCCACTCACCACCACCAACCAAATCAGAGATAATCATTGGCCCAGATTTGTTGGCACTAAATTTCTTGTCTACTGCATCAATTTAGCCATTGAAGTAAAGGTGCTAAAAGAAAAATAAAAAATGCTTAAAATATATTAAACTTTGTGTAACTTTGGCACGCAGATCTTACAGAAGTCGAGCAGGCCGGACACACATATCCAGCAGGAGCAGTATGCGGAGCAAAACCTTTTATATGTGAAACCAAGCAATTCATATGCATAACATCTAAAACAATCAAAAAGCAAAGTTAGTTATGCAGTCTGAGGCCAAAAAACTTTCTTTCAGAGACAAAATCTGTGTAGGATGTTATTTCTGCAGGATCACATACGCAAGCAACCCAATCGAGTAGTTTGAGAATCACTTCCTTCTTCAAGCACACCATGACACAAGCAGCATTTAGAAGGCCATTCATACTCCGCATCTAGAACCCATTCTGAATAAGTACGGACCTATTAAAAGATACTGACAATTTGGTTAGAAACAATGTGACAATATAAATATAGCACACCTCTAAAATACTTGCATTCAATCTGGTCAGCAAGAATCTTTTTGATAAAGTAAAAGTCATCTGACAGACACTTATTCAAACTCCATAAAGAAATGACAAGTTGCACATATAGACAAAACAGCCAGAATCTTTTTCATTTTCCAGAAACTGACTACATAGCAGAGGTTAGATTCAATTGCTTGAGCTTGCATCTCTGGCAACCTTATGAGTGCCACTTGGATCACCCAAACTCACTTGTTAGAGACTTGAAGTCTTACCCAAATTAACCTGGAGGGGCGTAAATAGGTCTTCAGCACTCAATGCGGAATACCCAATTAAAAACTTTTTTGTATATAAGAATACCCAATTAAAAACTTAATTCACTCAATTGTTAATTAATTGGTCAATTAATGTTCAAAACCCCTCAATTAAATGCACAAAACCCTTGGATGGATGGATGGATGGATGAATGCAAGATACAAAAATTCAACAATCAACCGCAATGCTCAATCCACCAACCATATCCCTCCAAAGTCCTTCCACCAATTCAATCAACAAGGTGATAAAATCAACAATTTAAGCATATTATCAAAGACATGGTGAATGTAAAAATCGCAAGTGTGTGTAGAATAAAGAAGAAACAAGCACAAAAGAGGCAAACAATTTANACCGCAATGCTCAATCCACCAACCATATCCCTCCAAAGTCCTTCCACCAATTCAATCGACAAGGTGATAAAATCAACAATTTAAGCATATTATCAAAGACGTGGTGAATGTAAAAATCGCAAGTGTGTGTAGAATAAAGAAGAAACAAGCACAAAAGAGGCAAACAATTTATATGTCGAAACCCTTTTAGGAAAAACTATGGGACCATAGTCCACCTAACTTAATCAGTTATACTCAAAAGTTTGATTACATATTCAAACTCCTATACTTTCACCCAATACCATGATTAGATGTTTTCCCCCTTGAATTTTCAGTCTTACCAATGCGAGGTCTTAAGTAATAGCTTCACTAGGCAACAAACTGATCTCTACGATCCACCTTTAGAATTCTCCTTTATCTTCTTAGAACCTCCTAAGATCTTCTCACAATCTCACCATTGTGGGTGTGGTGGTTTTCTACTATATCTCTCTATTCTTTAAGTTTGAAGGTGAAGAACAAGATTGATCTTTTTAGATCTATGACATTTGGATACTTAGGGATGCTAGGGTTTATTTTTTACTCTCTAGATGATAGATGAGATTGTTTTCTGATTATAAATGATTTTCCCATTGAGAAAATACTAGCCTTTATATATAAGCCTCGTAAAAAAATTTTAATTGGGACACAAGAGAACCCAAATTTGCGAGGGACCACTCGCGCTGTGAATCACATGTCATTGGCGATGGTCACTAGAATGTCAAAACGAACATATCTAGACCATTAGTACAGGAACGGCTCGAGTCGTCTATAGATCAAGCTATGGCCACTGTCTAGTTTATTTTTTCCGATTTTCTCCCTAAGTGTTCAGGGACCGCTCGAGCCATACCCTAACGATTTTCCAGTGATTCATATTGGTTTTTAAGCCTTAATTCCAACAAAAATTTGCCCTATTGAAAACAAATGGACGTTGCTCAAAAAAGGTCCATTGAATAACTCATTTAGGGTTTTCAAAACTATCTTTGAGTTTCAAAAAACTTTTTCAATAAATGGTCAAGAGTCATGCATGGAATATATCCTAAATCCAATTTTAATTCACCTAAGTAAATCAGAATAAAACAAGGCAACTAGATCTCTTGGTCATTACCTTTAACTAAGCTTAAAGGATTTCGGGAAGTCTACGATTGTAACTTTGTAGTTTCGACTTCCTCTTTCTTCTATACTTTAGTCTTCAACTTAACATCATCATGATCATGGATTTAATTGAGTTATTTACATATGACATCATGGAATTAGCTGATTACAAAATCAATTTCCTAACAAAGTGAACTCATACTATCGCATTGAGAACGATGACACATCAATAGCTTAATAAAAGTTTGAATTCAACTCTAAGACAATATATAAGAAGCAAGCAACTCAGACATCAAAAAATCATCTTACTACAAGTTCGTAACTTCAGAGGTGTCACCATGACATAGATTTGCAGAAGATAGTATATAAGAATATAACTCCATTGAAATCTATATCCAATTTGGGCTTAGGACATCATAGTCCATCTGTATTTTATCAAAATATGCATTATTTTCTTCTAAGTTTTACAAGATAGCGCATTTTTAAGATTATAAGAAAACTGAATTCCTAGAAAACTCCACTATTCATGGTAATGTTGGTCTTTCACTACTCTTCGCTAAAAGCTCCAAGCTAGAAATATTAACATAGACTCGTAACCAAATTAGAATTAGAATTCCAATTCCAAAGGATACCGAAACAATTAACAACAGTATACGATGGATATAACACCTGGACACATGAGCAAGTTATAACGTAATTATGAACAGTTGCAATAATTCCATTTCTCATCAGCCAGCGTACCAATAGAATAACATTATCAAATTAGAATAAGTTTCAACAACATACCACACATATTTGGTGCTCTGGAAAACATATACATTCTCCACAAACAGGGACCTTGTGCACGAAACAGTATAACTTAGTTGCCTGAAACCCAGAAACCCCACATGTTATTCTCCAAATTCAAGTAACGTGTGAGATAACACAGAGGAAAACACTTAATAAAAGTCCTTACTGATTGTATGAACTAAAGTGCAATGGAATTAGCTGTACTCAGACAAATCATAAATAAATAAATGCATAACTATAAATAGTTTTTGTAATGTTAATGGCTAAAACTATATATATCAAGCTAATTGATGGGATTGGATGAAGTATGTTCCAAATATGCATATATCCCCTTGTATGTGTTCATCAAAAAAAAAGAAAAAAAAAAAGCTAATTGATGGACTACAATCCAAAGTAATGCACGCAAATACCTATGTTTTCCATTCTCAGACTCTGTGCCAAAGATAAGCCATTTTTTTTTTACAAATTGCCCTCAATTAGTTGGTTAACATGGAATATAAGGACCGGTATCACAATGCCAATTACCCAACAGTTCAATGAAGGAAAAGAAAACGCAGAGATCTCCCAGATTTCGAGTTGCAAGCTCGATCTGATCTAAGAACTCCCATCACTAAACCGTAGCCAATTTCAAATTGAATCAGAGAGCGAAATCTATCACAATAATGTCCATAATCAAACTGGAGTTAATTACCAAGTGATCCATACATAATAACCTCTCACACACACCCATGCAGATAGAGAGAGAGAGAGAGAGAGAGAGAGAGAGAGTACCTTGCGGCATTTGCAGACCACCATCGCATCAACTGGCGTGGCTACAGAGCTGATAAATTCTAGATTGAAGCTTCAGCTACTCAATTTACAGGTTTCAATGACAATATATCTAATTATTAGGCATTGCTTAAATTTTCTAGGGTTTATCAGAATATAGCCTGAAATAGAGATCCATCGGGGAGGGAGAGGGGGAGGGAGAGGGAGAGGGAGAGAGAGAGAGGTGTGACAGTGAACAGTGATTCATTCACCGCCAGTTGTTAACTATATACTATAAGAAACGCACATTAAACAATCTTTTCTTTGGATCGGTTTCAGCCTTTGGAGGAATTAATGTGTGTTGCCGTGGGAGGTGAAGGTAGTAGTAATTCTGTGGGGTTGACCAAACTGTGGCCCATGAGCAGGGTGTAAATGGTGTCGTCGGGTCATAATTATTCGTGTTGTATCTATATTAAAATTTATAAAAAAAAATTATTTAATATTTTTTGAATATTAAATATTAGTTTAAATTATTTATTATACTTATTTAATAATCATGTAAAATTTATAATCGTTCGTGTCAAATTCGTATCAACAAGTCAGAAGTGACACCCAACTCGGGAGTAGGCCCGTGGATTGGATTTGATTTGGACCTTGGTACATACAAAACTAAATTCAATTAAAAAATCTATTATTGAATTCAATTGATTTATTTGACAAATGTAAAAATATTAATTCATATCCGAATACGTTTATAATCGATAGGAGCGGTTCAATACAATTGGAGACCTAAAGTGACCAATATTAATGAGGCCTTTTATTTTTTAAAAATAAATTTTTTTTTTTTTTTTAGTTTTTGGCCTTTTGAGATGAAATTTTTTTTATATTTTTTATTAAGTTTGGCTAACATATTTTTTTATTGACTGAATGATTAATTCNTTTTTTTTTTTTTTTTTAGTTTTTGGCCTTTTGAGATGAAATTTTTTTTTATGTTTTTTATTAAGTTTGGCTAACATATTTTTTTATTGACTGAATGATTAATTCGCTTAGGCTTTCTTATATATAGTTGGCCTTATAGAGAATTTTATTAGTTTTAATTTTGAAAAGTTTAAAGAAAATGTTATAGGATGTCAATAATATTATATAAAAAAAATACACTCAAAAAAAGAATCAATCATTTTCAGTATTTCAAATAGAATGTTTTCTTCTATTTATAATTTTTTTGTTAAAATATTTAAGTCTAAAAACTAATTTAGACCATTAATAGTAGCGAAACATTTGAAAATTTTTCATAATATGTTTTCAAATTAAATAGAAAATTGCAAAAATTTTTAACTTAAGATCAATACATTGTGTTGTCTTGTCATCAATATTTTTATTAATTTTTTCTCTACAAATTGTTAGTTATTCATGAAATATAAATTTGGTTAGTTTAAAATGAAACAGAGAAATTGATGTTAATTGTACATTTTGAAAGAGAATGATAGGTTTAGTTTGGAATGAAACATGCAGATTTTTTTCCACTTAAACATTTTTGTTTAGGTAATTTGGAAGTTGGTATAAAAATTGAGATTTATTTGAACTAAACTACATTAAAGAAACTTATTTGACTTTAAGTGCATTTTTTAAAAAGAAGACTAAAAGACTATTTATTACTCCATTATTTTCTATCTCTTTTCTCTCTCTCCGTTACTCTCTTAGCTCTCTTCTCTATTTTTTCTCTATCTATTTTTTTTTCTCTTTTTCTCACATTGATAATTTTTTTTTAAATATGTGAATATTTGATTTAATTTTTTTATTTCTCTCTCCTTNTAAAGAAAATGTTATAGGATGTCAATAATATTATATAAAAAAAATACACTCAAAAAAAGAATCAATCATTTTCAGTATTTCAAATAGAATGTTTTCTTCTATTTATAATTTTTTTGTTAAAATATTTAAGTCTAAAAACTAATTTAGACCATTAATAGTAGCGAAACATTTGAAAATTTTTCATAATATGTTTTCAAATTAAATAGAAAATTGCAAAAATTTTTAACTTAAGATCAATACATTGTGTTGTCTTGTCATCAATATTTTTATTAATTTTTTCTCTACAAATTGTTAGTTATTCATGAAATATAAATTTGGTTAGTTTAAAATGAAACAGAGAAATTGATGTTAATTGTACATTTTGAAAGAGAATGATAGGTTTAGTTTGGAATGAAACATGCAGATTTTTTTCCACTTAAACATTTTTGTTTAGGTAATTTGGAAGTTGGTATAAAAATTGAGATTTATTTGAACTAAACTACATTAAAGAAACTTATTTGACTCTAAGTGCATTTTTTAAAAAGAAGACTAAAAGACTATTTATTACTCCAATATTTTCTATCTCCNTGGTATAAAAATTGAGATTTATTTGAACTAAACTACATTAAAGAAACTTATTTGACTTTAAGTGCATTTTTTAAAAAGAAGACTAAAAGACTATTTATTACTCCATTATTTTCTATCTCTTTTCTCTCTCTCCGTTACTCTCTTAGCTCTCTTCTCTATTTTTTCTCTATCTATTTTTTTTTCTCTTTTTCTCACATTGATAATTTTTTTTTAAATATGTGAATATTTGATTTAATTTTTTTATTTCTCTCTCCTTTTATTCCCTTATTCTCTCCCTTTCTCTTTCTCCTTATATCAACGTTATAACAACACAATTACACTAATCAGTTACACAAATTAGTTACAATTACAATATAATACACAAAATAGTTACTTATGTGTTATAATAAATTAAACAGTTATACTAAACAATTATACGAAATTACACTACCAACCCAATTTGTTATTTAGTTATTTGCATAAATCAAAGAATTACTTTATTTAGTATCACGACATGGTTATATCAAATTAGGTTTATCATTACACAAAAAAATTTAACATTATACTAAACTTGTTATATATAATTCGTGTAACAATATCGCGATACTAAATTATGCAACTATTTAGTTTATGTAAATAACTGAATGACAAACTGGGTTGGTGTCATAATTTTGTGTAATTGTTTGGTGTAACTGTTTGGTTTATTAGAATGCATAAGTAACTATTTTGTGTATTATAAGAAATTGTAATTGATTGGTGTAACTGATTAGTGTAATGTGTTATTGTAATGTTGATATAAATAGAGAGAGAGAGAGAGAAATGGTTAGAGAAAATAGGGAGAGAGAGATAAAAAAATAAATCAAATATTTATNTGAATGACAAATTGGGTTGGTGTCATAATTTTGTGTAATTGTTTGGTGTAACTGTTTGGTTTATTAGAATGCATAAGTAACTATTTTGTGTATTATAAGAAATTGTAATTGATTGGTGTAACTGATTAGTGTAATGTGTTATTGTAATGTTGATATAAATAGAGAGAGAGAGAGAAATGGTTAGAGAAAATAGGGAGAGAGAGATAAAAAAATAAATCAAATATTTATATATTTGAAAAGAAAATAAATTATCAATAATAGATAGATAGAGAAAATAGGGGAGAGATGAGAAAAGTGATGGGGAGAAAGAGATAGAGAGAAAATAAGGGGAGAGATAGTGAGAGAGTCTAATGAAATTTTTACATATTTGACTAGTTACATAACTGTCAATCAAAAATGTATAATTTAAGAGAAGGTATTTAGGTAAAAAAGTTTTGATTTCATTTGAATTTTGTATTNGTGAGAGAGTCTAATGAAATTTTTACATATTTGACTAGTTACATAACTGTCAATCAAGAATGTATAATTTAAGAGAAGGTATTTAGGTAAAAAAGTTTTGATTTCATTTGAATTTTGTATTTAAACACAATATATTTTATTAAAATTGAACTTAATAGAGTAAACAACTTGTCCATACACTTTTCCTCAATTAAGTCTACAAAATTGTACCTACAGCCAAAAAACCCTTTTTGTTTTAATTTCAAATGTTATTATGTGTGGCTAATGGGTTGGACTCTTAGCCCAACTCTGTTTAGCATTTCTTAGTTGATTAGGATATTTTAGGAATTATTTTTACGGTCAGAATTTTTTACCTAAATCATACATTAAGGCCTATGAAAGATGGGGGCCTTCTTCATGGATGAGGCGTAAAGCTCATGCTTCAATTCCTATACTATTGAGTTGACTCTCATAATTGAACATCCAATCCAATTGGTAATGGTATTCCACCAAATTTTTAATAAATAATATTTTTTAGATCAAATATAAACAATTAATAATAACATTTATGTGTAAGTAGTGTTCTCGAGGTTTGGAACAAATTCCTTTCTAACCCCCCGCATATCAAAGGAGCTGCCTATGTTTGTCCAATTTATTTTGTTGTGAATATGAGCCTACCTTCGACTTTAGGGTGGCTTCAATATACTCAAGTTTTGTTGAATCAAGTCTACGCAAAAGTTAAATTTAAGCATATTCAAGTTCAATATGTTTGGCTCAATGATCACCCCATACTTAGTGGGTTGGTTGCGCGTGTATATCTTTTTTTTGGCCTTCTCCCAATATTGTACCATCAATTGATGTTGATGATTAGGTTGATGACTCCGTCAACCTTTTTAAATAAGATCTACTAATCTAACTATTTCCCGATCATCAAAAATACATTAAATTTTGAAAATTGCCATTTTAAATACGGTCATTGGATTGTGGGCCATGGATTAATGACTGTATAACTACAATATTTTTCTTGACTACTTTCCCAAAACACAGCACCATGTTCATTCTCCAACTTAGGTCATGAAATAGATAATCAACAGATTTTGGGGATCAATTCTCAACTTTACTTAGGGTTTGCTCCTGATGCTAATTTAAGTGAAGTGTGTGACTTGTGTCATTTAGGCCTGGTAAGGAATTTTATTTGGATTGGATTTAAATTGATCCAAAACTAATTTTAAAACACTAATCCAATTTTATTTTTGGGTATCTGACAGATCTCATTTTTATATGTCATGTTTGAATTAATAAAAAATAAGAAAAAAATGATCCTAAAGTTCAATTCAACCCAAACAACTCAATTAACTTGATATCTAATAAATTACAAATGAATGTCAATTCACTTCCACCGGCAATCACTTAATTGATTTAGAATTTTTAAAACTTGGGTTAGGTCTGGGCAAAAAAATTTCAACTCGAATTGAATTTAGGCAAGTCTCAGGTTGTCGGGTTCAACTCGAATATTAATCGAGTTGAACCCGATTATACATAAATATATAAATATATTTAACTAGAGTTAGTATTTATCTTCACTCTTCAGAGTTTAGACTTTCATTTCACTTCAAGTCTTCTCCTCTACACCTCCATCACTCCTACATCCCTCTCTCACTCCTCATTCCTCCCTTTCTCACTTCATCTCTCTTCATCTNGTGTCGTC